GCTAAACTTTTTCATTCCTTGTTTTTATCTCACACACACACGCACACGCACACACACACACACGCACGCACACACACACACACAGAGTATCATAGCTAGCCCTTATATTTATAATTTTCCTCAACTGACTTTCTCAACCAAAATGCCCTTAGTCTTTTATTTAAACACTCTCAAATGATTGGTCTGATCTTAAGAGGGCTTTAAAAATGATTTCTTACACTTTGTACTGTTTGATCTTAACACTGTACAGCATTATGAGAGATGCAGTGAGGCAGAAGGATAGTTCATAAATGCAGGTATTGTTTCTTTAAAAAAATGTTGTTATCTTCAGCTGAAACAATTTGGGGTAGAGGAAGCAGAAGCAGAAGTAATTTGAACAGGTATCTCATAAACCCAAGTGACAAAACACACTCATTACAGCAGTAAATAATTCAATATTTGCAGCTGAATACATCCATGGGGTGCTTCCACTCACTGTAGTTGAGTTGCACCTTCATCCCCTATATTGGAGCTATAGCAGGGATGAATTAGGCCCATCTGAGGTCTTCTCTTCATAAATCACACCAGTCTTCAAAGTGCTTTTTCATATGTCCTGGTAACCAAGCTTCCTATGTTATTGCAGTCAATGGAGATGGCAGATCCTTCATGAAGCAGATGGTATTTGGAATTGTCACAGCCATGGACCTCCTCACTTTTGTTACCAGAAAGGACAAGAACCATAAATGCTATGTTGCTTTACCCACATCAGCATCTCCAAAATCCGTCTCCAAGATGCAAATCCATACCTAACAATTGAAGAGTTTTCCAATCTAGTCGGTAGCTTTTCAGAACGATTGGGTGGGTTATAATGTGGTAATCATTGGCCTCTAGGCTTAAGTGTCATCCCCAATAACATCAAAGGGAATCTCTGCAACCTGTTAAAGAACTCTGTTTAATTCAAATAAGCAGTTACACTGACATTAAAACACAAAGTGCAGGGTGAGGAGAAGGGAGGGTTAACACATACAAGTCGTCTTGCCCAGATGTTATCAACATTGGTTAATTTCACATTTCAAGTTTTACCATTCTTATGAATCACATGGTTTTTGGCCAGAGCTGAAGCCAGTCTTGGTGATGGGAGAAAGTCCAGCCTTCCTGAGAACTGCAGCTCTACCTGGGGAAGAAATCCCCCCTGATCGGCTGCATGGTCCACTTGGCCCCCTCCTGGGGAAGAGTAGGCTATCAGGGCTGCTGCACGAAGCAGGCAGAACTCTTCTCCTGCTACCCCTCACCACCTTTCAGGAGCTGACACTGTTTTCACAGGATGGAGTTGAGGAGCCCCACATCTTGGGATCTTCTCTTCCTTGTCCTGAAGCAATACAGGTGTGCAGGGAGAGAAGGGTCCGAACTGGCATTTTCCAAGGGGGGCCTTGAGTTTACAAAGGTTGAGAACCATTGGGTTAATTTAATATCATAACTCTGTCACTAACTGGGGGATAATTAAGCTATATTCGCACAATCAGTTTCTGATGGATATATCTCAAAGCACTTCTTGTTTTCACAAAATGCAGGGATGAGGGAGCCAGTTAGAAGTCTCTGCGCCATTCACCTCCTGCCATTTTAGAACTGAATTTCACCCCAGGTTTCTTTTCTTTTGATGTCCTGAAGTATTTGAATAAGTTTGTTTGTTTGTGGTTTATGGCCGGACCAGTCACAGCAAAGGAAACCAGTTCAATAAAATGCCCTCTGAATATTTTCCCCAGGGACTGAAACTGGAAATGCTAGAAATTTCAGGAAAACAGGTTCTGCAGAAAGTTTTGGCCCAAATGTGCTGACTAAGGAATTTGGCAAGTTCAGAAAAGCATCCCTGCTAAATCCAAACTTTCAAAGGTTAAACTGTCACTAAGGAAAGATGGGGGTGGGGGGAGTGTATCTCTAATGCAACTGAGACTCTGTACCAACCTAGGGAAGGTATCTGGAACAGTTATGTTGGTTATGTGGATGGAGTTGAAGACTCAAGGCCACACTACTGTCCCCTGAAGTGAAAGGGATTTGCCACTGACTTCAAAGTGGATAACAATGGGCCTTCTCTGATGGCTTCATTTGCTCTTTTTCATGTTCATTCCCTGGCTGTTTCATGAATGGAGAGAAAGAAGCCCCAAATGTATCACAGTCACAAGAACCATTCCGCGGCAATGAGGGCTCCTGGCTGGCAGCACTGCGAAGTGAGAGAGAGCTGATATTTTCTATCTAGTGCTTGTCCAGAGCAGCCCCCAGGTCCTGCTGGCAGGGAATTCTGGCAGCTTTATCTTACAAGAAATTGTCACTTTTTTCTATAGAGAATGCAAATCATTGTATTATACATGATTGTGTCTGACACTGTGCATTGGAATAACAGGCAATAAAATATTTAAAGTGGTAATAGAGTTAATTATTTAGTCTAGAGGCTTGTCCCTGCTAAGTGAGATTTGAAACCAAGGGCCGAGTCCCTTGTGGTCATTAAAGAAGCCATGGCACATTGTGCAGGTGTAGAAAGGGGATTATTAACACTATTATCTGGATGTATGCCAACCTGCTTCCTGGAGTTCCTATGCCCTGAGTATCACTGCAGTGTAAGCTGTCCCTTTGTTTTTGTCTGAATGTAAAATGTTCTGTTGCTGAGCACCCTTCGAGAGCTGCTGTGTTCCACTCCGGAGGCAACGGCACTTCAGCAAAGAATGGAACTATTCCTTCACATTAACCATGACTTCAGCAATGACCTTAAGCAAGGGAACCGGCACTTAAAGGTGGTTAAGCAAATGCCCAGGTCTTTGCTGGATTGGAACCAATGGCACTTGTAAAATATTTTGAGACAGGTCAGTAACATGAAAGCATAGCTGAAGGCCCACTGTGGTCCTATAGTCTGGGATACGGTTGTGGTTTCATTAATTTATGCAGAGAAAAGTTTTTCAAATGATACCAGGTTGTTAACCTGTGAAATCTGGGGATGTTACTGCCAGTAACCGTGGCCTCCCATCTCCTCATCCCTCCTATTATTTGTCTACTGTGTGGGCTCTGGCTGTAGGACTCTGCACTAAGAACTTGATCCATTTCCTACTGAAATCTTCTCATCTAGTTCAATGATACTGTGGAGGCCATAGGTGCAGAGAGAAATGCAGCTTCCATATCTAACTCATGGCAGTTCACAGAAAGCACCATGAGTTAGACTGATCCTCTCAACCCAAAAAATGTTAGCTGTAGGGTTGGGAGAGTGGGAGATCAAGATCTAATTTAGAGCCAATCCAGGGAGAGAGGTTTCATCTGTGCAGCATCTGTCCCCTAGCACCATCCTCCTCCCCAAGCTCCCATGCTGTCTCAGGATGGGAAGGGGGAAGGCAGGGGAAGGAGGTCCATTATGGGGTTTCCCCAGCTCCACCGGAGTGGTGGGGTGAATTGGAGCCTCCCACCTTGGGGGGACTCCACTACACCCACCCCACCCCCCCAGTGCCAGCTGGGCAACCCCCAAAATGAGCTCCATCTTCTCCTTTCCTCATATTCTGAAAACAGTGCCTGGGCTGCATCAGCCAAGCCCTTCTCTCAGCAAGTGCACTCCACTTTGGAGCATCCTCATGTAACCTTCATGCAATGAGGGTTCAGATTTTCATGGTATCAGGCCCTTTTAAAGCTCTCTGCAGCCATGCATTCGTGTTTGGTCATGGCTGTAGACCACTTTCAGGGGTCAGATCAGACAAAAATTGTCACTTCTGTCTGCACCTTATGGGCACCTACAGACGTACAGCAAGGCTGTGCTGATGTGCTGTAATCACTGCACTTCAGAGCAGACTTGATTAATTGAGTCTGCTGGAGCGTGGTAATTACCACACTTCACCAGACTCTAGAATCACATGTATTAGTGTGTTAGAATGTATTGATGAGCTTTGGTTAAAGCACCCCCATTGCCATTTTTCAGCGTGGGGCTGCTGATAGACATGACGCTCTGGGCACTTTAATTAGAGCAGCTCTCAGAGACACTGTACTTAAAACACCCCTCCCTCCCCCACTCCTGGAGCATAAGCACCCCATGTCTTCTTGATTCTGGTTAGTGTTTTGGGGTCCTTTACCTTATAATCGACATGATGAGTATCACAACACAGTTTCTCTGGAAGACTAGAAATCCTGTGGTAGCAATAGGTACCTTCATAACCATGTTATTAAATATTCTTATTATAAACAATATACATATTTTCTTATATTAAGCATTAGACTACAATAGGAATAGCATTCTTGGTTTCCCTTTTTCAGTTGACCCCATACATAGTTTTAGTTTGACCAAGCTTCTAGCACTGACATTGTGACACTGTCTTGTAGACGTTTATTGGAGGGGATGCAGTAATGGCTTATATAAGGCAGCTGGATGGAGATGCAGGGTTGCTGGGGAGGTGTGTGAGGAATTTGAGATGATGAAGAAACTTTGCTTTTTTCTCATCTGCAGAATGCAAATGGCTTTGCTTTGCAGTGGAATCTGTTTCCTTCTTGCAGAGAGCCAGCAGAAGCTTTATAAAGGCAGGGGAGGAGCAAAACCAGCAATCAGCCAGTTCAGCCTTTGCCTTGGGTTCCCCTTCTCTGGTAATTTAAGACCTGAAGAAGAACACCTTGCATTCAAAAGCTTGTCTCTCGCTCTATCCCAATGATGGAGTTGGTCTAATAAGAGCTGTCACCCAAAGAAATCCTTGCCTCCTGGACCATCGTACCAAAGTTACATAGCCTAGTAATGAAACATCTGCTCTAACTTGTCTTCCCAGCTATTTGCCCTTCTGCTCTTAGTAGGAACTTTTCTTTACATTGCAGCAAGGTGAGCAAAGCAGTGGGGAGAGGGAGAGGCAACAGTTCTCTCTAGTTGTGTCCATGGAGCTGCACTTTCTCCTCTCCAGAGCTCTTTTACATTCCAGTCCGTCTGAAAGCGGAGCTGTGTTCTCCTTCACGGAGGAGCAGGGGGAGGGGTTTGCAGATGAATTAGAAACCTGGGATTGGGGCTAGTTCTGAGTGTTTACTGGATGATTTCATGGCTATGTGGCACCAGGAGAGCAGATCAAGGAAGTTGTTAGGGTGGGGGAGGGAAAGGATTACAAACAAGTTTGGCAGCTGGAAGAGGATTTTTCTTCCGTAATGCTGCATACGTACTCTCTTCCACTGCTGACAACCACGGGCCCCTAGGTAAATCCTCAGCCAGCCACAGGTGAGTAATCACTGCAATTGCACAGTGAACTCTCACTGCCTTGTGACTTGCACCTTTTTTTCCCCCCTTGACCAATCCAGGGTTTGAACCTTTGAGGCAGCATTTAGGTAGGAGCATACTTAAAATGTCACAGGGATGGCAGCAGAGCAATCTGGCATAGGTATTTAAGCTTAAAAAGGGAGAAAAAGACTATGTGCATTTTTCTTTTCTTTTTCTTTTGTGGTGCCCCATCTCCTCCCCCATCAGGGAGGCTAAACGTTAATTGGGACCCTGGTAAGATCATGACTAAGAAAGTAAATGAGATGTTTGTTTTCAAATGGCCACGCGGACCCTGTTCCGTCAATGCTCGTCTCTGTGGCACTGTGTCCTCATGAGGCCAAATGGAGAATGTGTGTAAGGGTCTGTAGCATCAGGGTCTAGGGCAACCCTTTCAGCAGGCCCAGTCTTGTACTTACTTCTCCATGGAAAGGCTCTGTTTTAAGGGATGGCTGACACAAATGAGGTTACTCACCTTTATGATAACACAGCGCACTACAGGATCACACACAGAGAGGTGTATGTTAACAGCCTTGTGAAATGCAGAGGTGGGGTTTCAGGTTGGGGACTAGACTCGATGATCTTCAGAGGTCCCTTCCAGCCCTAATGTCTATGAAATCTATGAAAGAGGTCTCCAGGGAGGGGCATACACCACCACTTGCATCTAGAAACTGAGAAGGGAGCTGTGATGGGAAGCTGTGGCTGAGTTTTGACAGCCTCCACTGTAATTTCATTGAACACTGTGGGTTCTGTTTGGAAAGATAAATCCTTTGCAATGCAGTACTACAGAGCCATCGTAAGGGAACTGCAACAGGGAGCTGGATATGTTTGTTGTTTGCTACCATGGAAATACATTTTAGGTGGGAAGTGAGTGGTAGGTCAGACCCAGGTTCTGATGGTGGAGACACTGCATTTCAGAGCTGAAAAGTGAATACTGGCAGTGACTGAAGACCTATCTGCAAAGGTTTATCCCTTCCCATCCCTTTCCCCCCCAGGCAAAACTGCAAGTGAATCAACATGAACTAAAGCGGGTGAGCCCTGCGTAATGTGGCTTGCTCTGCTGTAGCTTAATCCTGAGCATCCAAACGGGGTGAACCTGCTTTCATCTATACATGTTGACTTCCCACTGCAGGTTGAGTCGCCTGAGCTTTCCACGCAGGCCAGCCCTAAGAACAAATCTGATCAATCCCTTGCATAATTTCCAAGGAAAAGCTGAGCCCAGCTGGTGTGCGTATTATCAGGATCCAGAGCTAGTGGCATTTCACAAGGGCTGTGCATTTGTTATGCAGGACAACCTGGTGGATGGAAAGCACCATTTAAATTATAGCCCCTGTGATTAGCAGGCTGCTAGTCTTCCTGCCTTAAGTAACTTCAGCCAAAGATTAAAAAGAGGGAGAAAGTTGCACCAGGATCTAGAATATACTGCCCAAATTGCAGATCATCAACGGAGATACAGGACTGAGCCAAAGCCATTAGTATGATAACAATCTTGCTGGCTCCACCCATTTTAGCATTACAAAGGCACCCCCACCCCTTAGTTTGTCATCATGAGTCAGATAGCCATTGCATATAAAAGCTGGCCTTGCAGCTGGAACGGTATGGTCACTCTGGGCGGACAGCTAAAAAGGCATCACTGCTTCTGGGCTAGGCCATCTGTCACATTTGGGCATCCACCAAGACTATTCAGGTAATTCAACCTTGTTTATAATCTGATTGAATGGTGTCTTTAACTCAAGGGACCAACCTGAGCAGGAAATTCATCCCTGTGTAATATTGCATTGTTTGTAAAATAGGCTTTGTCTAACAAACCTGTTGCTTGTTGAGTAGTATGTTTGGCTGTAGAGGTTGCACAAGACATTACAGGTTACTGTGTAGATGTATGGCTTTTGACTTGGTACTCAACAACTTGCAGGTTAAAAATGTGACATAACGCAACATCAAAAAGCATGCAGGAAGTGGTTGAAGACCTGGTCAACTGAGAGAGATCAAAGAGGGATTGTATGTGAATGGCAGTATTTCTATTAGGTTTTCCTGGGCAGCCAGTTCTAGGCTAGTCAGTATATTAATCAGTGATTTAGAAGCAGAGGTGAAGTCACTACTGATGACACTTTGTGAATGACAAAAAGACTGGCTAAATAAGTCATGGCCAGTGATGGCCTGACAGAGGGATTATCAATCCAAGCCTTCAGAAGTCATAAGCTTGGCTGAAAAATCATGAGGCCCCTAAAAAAATAGTTTCGGGGTTTTCCTCATTTGCTATTTCATTTTTAGCCCTTAAGGATGCATTTGCTTGTGTTTTCAAGCTTCCCCCCTGCAATTGTGAAACCTAGAAACTTTCATTTTGTAAAGTGTAAGATGAAATTCTCAGGTATTCACACGACTTTAGGGGCAGGAGTTTTAAGGAATCCACCAAACAACATGAAACCTAGGATAAAAATGTGAGAGTTGACAATGCTGGGCCAACCATATAAAGCAATAGTTTTCAACCTGTTTTCATTTGCAGACACCTTTAGAAATTTCAAATGGAGGTGCGGACCCCTTTGAATTGTAAGTGTGGGTATTCACATACTTTTGAGTGATCATAATCATCTCTTATGAACCAAAGGTTGAAAACCATTGCTATAGGGTGATTGGGGTTATTTGGTAAGTGAAGCCCTTTCAAACCAAATGTATTTGAATATAGCCAAATGCCAAGTCATATGTGTAGGAACAAACCACTCTTTACCGGATCTTGGGATGTCCTGACTCTAGGTAGATTCTAGCAGTAGTGATGTACTTGACACAAGTTCCCAGCGTGATATTGTCCCAAAAGCATAGTGCGATTCATAGCTGCACAGGTAGGGGAGTAGTGAGTAGGAGCAGATGGTTTTACCTCTGTCTATAGCATTAATGAAGCCAATGCTAAAGACTGGATCCAAATCTGGTGCTCTCATTTTAGAAAGGCTGATGAAATATTATAGAGGTTGCAGAAAAGAGCCATAAAAATAATTCAAGGGCTGAAAAATATTCTCTATTGTGACAGATTTGGAGAGCTCAATCTGCTTCTCATAAGAGCAAAAGGTGACTGATTACAGTTTACTGGTATCTGCATGAGGGGAAAATATTGGGGAGTGAAGGACCCTGTAATGCAGCAAAGAAAGGCAAACACCAAAGGTTGTACAGTAAAATCAGACAGATTCAAATGAAAAATGAAGCATATATTTGTATAAGTGAGGGTGATTAACCACTGAAAAAGACTACCAAGGGAGTTGGATTCTCCATCTCTTGGTGTCCTCAAGGCTGGTTGAGTCTCTCAAGTACAAGCTATTGGGGTACCTTAATGAAATGCTATGGTCTGTGTTATGGAGGAGGTCAAAAAGGCCCACAGGAATCATCTAGTCAGGCTCTAACATCTATGAGTGCAATAAGATTATGCTTTGTTGAAGTTGGCAGTGCTACATGAGTTAAAAGCACCAGGAAAACTTTTATGACTGAATGAACAAGGGGATGTTCTGTTCTCTACAGGTTGTGCCTAGACTGTTCCCATCAGCAGAGTATCCCAGCACCTTACAGTTGTACACTAAGCAACATTTCCAAGCACTGTGCAGACACTGATCCCTAGATCACTCCTGTGAAGCAGGTAGGTAAGTAAATGTCCTGGTTTGATAGATGAGGAAGCTGAAGCCTAGGGAATCACTGATTTACTCATGACCACTAAGTGAATTCGTGGTACACCCAGCTGTAGCTCTTCAGAGAGGAAGTGGGGGGCAGGTGGTTAGCTCCCCAAAAAGACTTAGGTGTGTCCTTGTCTCCCTCGCTTTAACCTGTGGTATGTTATAGGGAATTCTTAGTGTTTGAGTTAGTGTTGCTTGCAGCTGGAGTGAGGGTTTGAAGTGGATTCCTTTGCTTAATGCTTGTTTGCAATTGTAAGTATATATGTAGGTTTCCTATATGATGCATGGGAAAAGTAAGGTACCTAAGAGTTGGATCCACAAATGTCAGCACACCGAGTGGTCTGCTGCATAAGCCAGCTAACAGAAAATGCTGAGACAGCATCCTACTTCAGGCTTTGGATTTCTTATTTCTGAGATCCAGTCCCCTGGACTGAGGTATGCCTTGCTATGCCTTCCTGGATTTGAGGGTCTAGAAGGCCTCCTCCCACCTTTTGTTCCTTTCATCCTATTAGTAAGTCCCCACTAATTGTCCCTATCAGTGTGAAAAACCATGACTATGCTGCAGACTGCAAGGTCAAACAGAGATACCAGCTAACTTTAAATAAGTTACCTTGGGTACTAGGCATAGCCCAACCATGCTAGCAGGGGGCACTGCTTGGGCTAATTTACTTATTCCTCATCTAGCCACATTAACCCATGCTAAATGCTGTGTGAGCATGGCTACTTAGCTACAAGTATCCAGGTTTTCTCACTTAAAGTTAACTTGGCATTTTCTATACTGCATAGCAGGCATGCATTGACATACCCCATATCTAACATTTAGATCCTCTGAATCATCATTCAGCCACCACAGACCCCTAGATCCTGTAGGCAACCACATTTTCCTTGGCTGTGCTCCCTGGGTACTGACAGGTCTGCTCCTGGGCATCCCCAAATCTGCCTAAATCCTGACAGTACTTAGCAGCTAGGGCCCAGGCCCACAAAAGGACTTAGACAGAATTTAGGCACCCAGATCCAAGACCATGGTCCTCAAAGCCCCTGCCTAACTTGTTAGGTGCCTCGGTTTTCACTTTGTGCTTATTCCCAAAACTGTTGCGATCTAGACAGGGATGAGCATTTTGGCACCAGCATTCCCCCTAAGCTGCATGGTATGCATAGCTGCACAGGCATGCTCATGCCACGCTGCCAGGCGTGGCTGTGTGTGCCGCGCAGCTTAGGGGGAACGCTGCTTGGCACCTATCTCATACATAAGGCTGGTTGGCTTTACCTCTGCTCTGAGCGCTCCTGCCACACACTGACAGTCATGAATTTAGTACTTGCACAAGAAACATATTGTCATGATGTTGGCATCAACCGTTTACATAATAGTCCAAAGCGCTAGCCCAGGAAGTGAGAGACCTGGGCTCTCTTTAGTCCAAGGGCATCCAATATCATATATGCCAAGCCCCAAGCCATAAACAAGTCCTGGGTAGGAGCACTCTCCCACTGAAGATGGGCCACTGCAGTAAGGAACGCAAGATGCACAAAGGTACAGAGAGAGAGAGCCTGGCTGTAGCTTTGTGGGGAGCGTCTTCCTGTGGGAGTCCTAGATTCTGGTCCCTGTTCTAGGGCCTGCTTATGCATTTTGCATTAATTGAAAAAAAAATTCCAAACAGTCCTGGGGTTAGAGCTTTGCATTTGGGGCCTATCTGCTCCCAGGGGAGTGTCCTCACCACGGCTTGTGAGAGGCATAATAGCAAAGCATACCTCAGTCCAGGGGACTGAATCTCAGAAACAGGAGCCCAAAGCCTGAAGTAAGACACTGAAGCCTCTAAAATGACTCAAGATGCATGTCTCTCAGCATCGCCTGTTAGCTGGCTTACTCAACAGCCCACTCATTGCTCTGGCATTTGTGGATCCAATTCCTAGGTGCCTTCCATTCACTATGCATTGTATAGGGAGCCCAGGCACTTCACTTGGGGCCGTGGATTGCACTAGGTGACAAGGCTGCTTAAAACTAAACCCTGTGGCAGTCCGTTGACTTAGCCTAGGCTACATTCAGTGCCCAGTCACTCAAGTTCTCTCTTTAGGAGGTCGTGGGAGAACCCCAGAAGCCCAACACAGGTTTGACAGGGAAGAAAAGACGAGCCTACGTCTCAACTGCCACAGAGATTATAAACTCTTCGGTGGAGGACTCTATATACAGGGCCTAGCACAGGGAGGCCGTAGGCTTGGTGGGTTACAAATAGCACTCACAGTAATACGTTGGAGACCACCCACTCAAAGGTGACTGTTTCATGGTATACTGGCCATATAGTTGCAGGACCACAGTCTCACAGCTAAATTTACTACAGTGCGAGTACATTCCTGAGTGGGTGGTCCTGATTCAAGTGTTTGAGCCAGTCATGACAGCAGTAAGTATTCTCCTCCCATCTCTCACCAGAAAAATGAAGCCTACACACTTGCCATCCCTGTTACTGACCTGCTTTCTTCTACATGAGGCTGCCTGTAAACCCTTAAAACCCAATTGTGATCTTGTAAAATGCAAGACATGTCCAAAGCAACATATCGCGGTGGCGTCCAAGAACAAGTGCTGCGCAACCTGCGTCCCTATGTGTTCCTGCCCTGACTACCAGGAGTTTGAATGCAACATGCAAGGCTTTAAAGATGGAAAGATCCCCCTTGGAAAGTCTTACTACATAGACTTTGCCACCACGAAGTGCACCTGTGTTTCTCCCGGGAATATTTCCTGCACCTCGCTTTGCCCTACGGTTTCTCCCACGTGCAAGGAAACAGGAAGAGTGGCTGATGGCTGCCCTCAATGCATCTGTCCCATTGAGGATTACAGTTTTGTAGTTGCTGGAAGTACCATCCAAAGAGATGCGGAGACTTGCAAATGTCCCCCTGAAGGTGGCGAGCTTCAGTGCACCCCCTCTAAATCTCACATTGCTAGTCCACCCAGTGCCAACGCAGAGTAGGCCCTGCTCTCAGCATGAGCTAACTGTCAGTGCCGAGGGAAGTTCTTTGTGGTAGAGGAGAAGTTCAGCAGTGTCCTTGGGCAGCTTATGGAAAACTCACACAGAATATAAAAGAAATGGACTGCCTTGCTAGAGGTGTTTTTGGTGGGGGTCCAGTGGCAGAACAGTAAAATCATCTCATGAAGGCTCCAGAGATCATGCCCCACTCTGGATTCATGCCATAGCCTAGTGAAGGGCCAAACTTTTTGGCAGGAATGCCATGAATTAACCCCACACCCTCCCTGAGGGCCCGTCTGATCCCCTTCTCCTGCCCAGCCTGCTGCTCTGTTTTCTGCTCCCAGGCCTGTGCTCCCTGCCCTATGTGCTTCTGTGCTGCCTGTCCCCTCCCCAGTCAGCTGGATGCCACACACAGAGACTGCTCATGCCACCCCTACCATAGGCCATCCCCTGTCACTCAGGGTTTAAAACGGTATCTGGTCATTCAGCCTCACCACATTGCTCCCTTTTGTGCTGATTGCATGCCTTAGCAATGCTAACTTTATGGGCAGCTACTGTCAACTGGACCTTTGACTTACGGGTGCCTCAAGCTGTCCTATACAATTTAATAAAGAATCAGATTCCTGCAATAGCATTTCATAGAGTTGCTATACTCTATGATATCTATGAGCCAGTTCAAAGCATTTATAGGAAGGCAACCTTTTTCTGTTTCTCTCTAGGCTTTATCCATGATGGTGTCCAAGGCAGTTAGTAGGATAGAAGGTAGATGGGGGGAGGGAAATGTGGCTTATTTATTTATTTATGGAATGATTAAGTTTTTTTGTGTGAATGTGTAAATATAGCTGGCGTAGGTAGCAATGCCTGATACATTTCATCCCGTTCTAAGATCCTGTTTGCAGGTGTCTTGTTACATTATAACCACTGGGGCTGCAATGTACCATAGCAGGTGTCTGCTTCAGGTTCAGAACATCAGCAAGTATCAGTCCTGCCATTTTTCAGCACGAAGTCACGGAAAACGACCGCCTTGGAACTGTTTCAAAAGTTTTAGCATCTTTCTGTTTTAGAGCAAGGACTTGATTCTGGCACGGGGGCTACCCTTGTAGTGGGGATATGCATTTTGCTGTCTCCTGGAAGATCTGGAGACAAATATGCGTATGTTTTTACTCTTTGGCAACTTTACTTGATGCAGGCTCAGGAGAAACAGAGTTGAGTTCAGCTGCCCATCAAGCTGGCATGGCTAAAGCATGGCAGTCAAAGACTCTGAAGAGTCTCTCAGTACTAAGCATGTTCCCACTCGCCCATCATGACATTGGACACAAGGCTCCTTCCTGCAGCCAGGAACTCTTGCGGTGCAAGGAACCAGAACTGAGCAGACAGGGCCTGTGCACTGTGGCATGAGACGAGAGCACTGAATCAAGGTTGCACAGGCTACCACCATTCTGTCATCTTCTGCCCTCTGAGCCTGCAACTAAAACCTAAATGCTCTTTTAATGAATTTCCCTATGTTATATACCATCTACAGAAGACTCCTATCATTTCCTCTTGACTTGCCCTGTGTCTGATACTCAGAATTGGAGATTTTCATTCTTTCCTGCATGGCACCTCATAGCCGTAGTGTCCACTGCCGCAAACTTACTCAAAGAAATTTCTTTCCAAATAACGAGTACAACTGTCCTACCTCTACTTGTGTCACTCTCACGACAGCTGAACTCAGGAGAAAGGTCACAGTAGCATTTCATTTTCTTTTTTTAACCATATATATATGAACAATGTAACCAAACCACGGCATATCTGGGGCTAAGATGCTGAGAAATGTTGGATTCTGTTCCCAATAAAAGCAAGTTTACAGATTATCTTTTGCAGTACTTATACTTCCTTGCTTGCCAGCCATTATTAGCAGGGGAAAACAAACCCCTTGGATAATGTAGGCCTTGATCCACTCAAATTACCAAAACTCCTGGAAGAAAACTAACCAAAGGGGGGTAGGGGAGTGGACATCTGTAGTCTGTGGGGCATCTCAGCGGATGAACCACCCACCCCCACAGGCTGAATTCAGCCTGTCAGCCCCATTGCTGCAGCTTTTGGAGTCTCTGTGGCTACCTATGCTCCTGTTTCAGTGTGGAGGGAGTTAACACTGCTTGCCCCCCTTATCTATGCCCAAAATCAAGGTTTTTTGTTGCCCCTAGTAACTAAAATTGGCAGCAGGGGAAAGGTTGGGGGGGGGGGGCAAGTGGCAGTCGTATTGACACCAAACTCCCTCCCTCTGACCAAATCAAAAGATTCCCCACTTAGCAGACACTTTCTAAAAGAAGGATTTCTTAAGGATTTTATACAGCAAAAAATGTGTTCACTGCCGACACAATTTCAAAGCAATGCACCTGTGGGCTTTTAACAAAAGTCATTCCAATCATTTGTAAAGGCCCCCACCTCCTGAAAACTTCAAGCAACGATGTTCAATAGGAATAAGGGTCACGCTGGGAGAGACAGCGAGAGAGCAGCCAGGCACTAGCTTCTGGAGGGGCTGGACGTCTTTAAGTCAGCCGGCCCAGATGATCTTCACCCTAGGGTCCTAAAGGAACTGGCTGGCGTCATTGCAAGTCCCCTGGCACGGCTTTATGA